TATATATATATATATATATATATATACACACACACACATGCGCGCACATAGACAAATAATTTATTTAAATATATATATTTATTGAAAGATTGATAGATAAAAATTATAATTAATTAAATATATACATTTATATAATACATTATACATTATATTTATTAAATAAATAGAAATATTATATAATGTGCAAAGGGTATTTTTGATATTTGTGATATAAAAGCTATTCCCAAGGGCATGGGAATAGCTAATACCAAGGCCCCTCCTAGGAATGACTATTCCCCTTGCGAAGGTAATAGCTCATTCCTAGGCATGTTATTCCAATGACAAAATGATTCAACCAAACGATGGAATAGGTCTATTCCAAGGAATGTTATTCTATTCCTGACCTATTCCATGAACCAAACATGCCGATAGAAATAGAGATAGAGATTTATATTGTTTTTAAAAAAAAAAATTAAAATAATAAATCTGCAAGTAAATAAGTCATTATTTTAGGTACATAAATATGATTCATAAAAGTCACTACTATTAAGCACAAAAGTTTATTATTGTTGGTGTTATTTTTATGTACCTATAATATTATTTTATGCGTCCACCGTATTAGTTTAATGTATGCAGGGTGAACTTGTATTATATTGTGGGCAAATTATGCTGTGCATCCGTATGCACCATGCATGGTGTATACGAATGCAAAAACGACATCGTTTTAATAAAACGCGCGTCTCCCCTTAAAAAAAAAAATCAGGTTCGATTCCCAGCAACAACATATGAACTAAAATTCCATAATCGATGAACTATAATTCCATAATCTAATCTATGAACTAAAAATTCCAGAATGAATGAACTAAAATTCCATAATCTATAAACTAAAATTTCAGAATCGATGAACTACAATTCCATAATCGATGAACTATAATTCCATAATCAATAAACTATAATTCCATAATTTATGAACTAAAATTCCAGAATGAATGAACAATATAATGTTGTTGCTGGGAATCGAACCGAAATTTTTTTTAAAGGGGAGACGCGCGTTTTTTAATAAAACGACGTCGTTTTGGCATCCGTATGCACCAACTATCCTATATTGTGACCCGATTTGAAGCATTGAAACTTCTTTGATCCATAAATGTTGGCAATAGTATATCTGAAAATTTTACCTACTTAAATTATTTTTATTTTAAATAATATTTATATTAATTTTGTAAAAATTTTAAAAATAAATCTGCAAGTAAATAAAGTCATTACTTTAGGTACATAAATTGGGGATTCATAAAAGTCACTACTATTAAGTACAAAATTTTTTCTTAAAAAAAAAAAATAAAAAAAAAAATACACAAGTTTACTACTATTGGTGTCATTTTTATGTATCTACAATATTATTTTTATGCATCCACTGTATTAGTTTAATGTATATAAGGTGAACTTTGATCAATGATATAATTTATCCAATGTTAGGATATATATTTTTTAATTCTAGACAAAATTTTGAAGTAAATTTTAGGTGATGGTACTTGTAACCTCATCTATTTTTGTAAATTTCTGTTACTGAATATGGACTTCCAAAGGTTCAATGTACTCTAATTGGATAATTTTATGTAATTGTAATCGTAGGTTATCACATAATAATGTACACACCAAATATCATTTATGGGTAGCACTAAAAAGAAAATTTCTTTTTTCTAAATTTGAGACAAATCTAGCTGGCCCAATGGGGTGAACCGGCCTGTATTGATATGAGTCAGACGTTATGCCATGGAACCGTGTTCACCATTCATGGTGAACACGGTTCCAACGGTGTTAGTGCACCGTTATCTTTTTTTTTTTTTTTCTTTTAATTAATTACGTGACTGCTTACACATTCACTTTGGAACCATGCCTACACATTCACTTTGGAACCATGAGATTATGAATTTTCTGTTATGAGATTATGAATTTTCTGTTATGAGATTATGAATTTTCAGTTATGAGATTATGAATTTTCTGTTATGCGATTATGAATTTTCTATTATGAGATTATGAATTTTCATTACATTCATAATTTCGGAGTTTCGGACATTCATAAATTATGAATTCATGCATGCACATTCACTTTGGAACCATGCCTACATATTTCCGTCCGAAATCACGGACATTCATAAATTATGAATCCATGCCTGCACATTCACTTTGGAACCATGCCTACACATTCACTTTGGAACCATGAGATTATGAATTTTCTGTTATAAGATTATGAATTTTCTGTTATGAGATTATGAATTTTCAGTTGTGAGATTATGAATTTTCTGTTATGCGATTATGAATTTTCTGTTATGCGATTATGAATTTTCTGTTATGCGATTATGAATTTTCTGTTATGCGATTATGAATTTTCTGTTATGAGATTATGAATTTTCATAAAATTCATAATCTCATAACAGAAAATTCATAATTTGATCAGTAACGCGCCGTTAACTCCACATCCGCGATTTTTTTTTTTTTTTTTTTTGCCTAAAAACGACGTCGTTTTGACTTGTGTTCACCATTCTCGGTGAACACGATTCCACGGCATAATTTGCGGATATGAGTTATTTGAGTTCAAAAGTTTATATCATGGCAGTTACGGCCTTTTTAGTTTTTAATTTTTTTTATTTAATATTCTTGGTTCTTTTGATCTGTGATCAGCAAAGTCTGTCTCTTAGTATATCCATTTTGAGAAGAAAAAGAAAAAAAAAATGAAATTCAATAAGTAGGAATGGCAACAGGGTTAGGAATATGTGAAGAGGCATATTTCTTATTTTTATGGCCCGTTTGGTTCACGGAATAGGCTGGAAATGGCGGCAAATTATTGTGTGGACCATGGTCCACACAATGTTATATGGATCATAACAAAAATTACATTTTTAATATACTAAATGTACATTATTTTTGTACTGAATGTACATTATATAATATAATGTACACTTAGAACAAAAATAATGTACATCCCCTGAATATAATGTACATTATTTTTTTACTGAATGTACATTATTTTTGTACTGAATGTACATTATTTTACAATAGACAAAATATGGTCTACACAACTTGTGTGGACCATGGTCCATACAATAATGATTGGGAAATGGCATAGCATTCCTAGTAATAGATCTATTCCTTTGTTTGGTAACCATTTCTATTACCAGGAATAGTATTCCTGGTAATAGCCTATTACCTCAAATAAGGTAATAGCTATTACTAGGCCCCCCTGGTATTAGCCTATTACTGAACGCTCAGGAATAGATTTTAGAATCTATTTTCTTTTTTACCCCTTTCTTTAACCTAATTTTTTTTATCCTATATATAAATTTATCCTATTTCACCACTGTCGTTGCCACCACCACCACCACCATCGCCACAATCGCCGCCCCCACCACTGCCACCGCTACCACCGCTGCCCCCACCATCACCGCCGCCCCCACCACCGCCGCCACCACCATCACCGCCACCAGAACCACCACCCAGCAGCACCACCGCCACCACCACCACAATCGTCGCCGCCCCCACCACTGCCACCGCCACCGCCACCACCACCATTACCACCCCAGCACCACCACCGCCACCGCTGCCACCGCCACCACCACCACCGCCACCAGAACCACCACCCAGCAGCACCACCGCCACCACCACCACCACCACTGCCACAACCGTCGCCGCCCCCACTACCACTGCCACAATTGTCACCGTCACCACCACCACCGTCGCCCCCACCACTGCTACCACCACCACCATCACCACCCCAGCACCACCACCACCACCATCACCACCACCATCGCCGCCACCGCCACCGCCACCGCCACCACCACCATCGCCACCATCACATATTTTTATAAGGGTATTTATGTCTTTTAAAACATATTTCATTTCTATTCCTTAAATCAACCAAACACTGTAATATAATTCCTAAAGTCTATTCCTTCCGCGAACCAAACAATAGAATACAATTCATATTCTATTCCTTGCCTATTCCATTCCTTATGGAATAGCATTCCTATTACCTCAAAATTCATTCCGTGAACCAAACGTGCTGTTAATCTCCATTTTTATTTTTATTTTCATCTATGTTTTCGGGGGATGTTTCGTTCTTATCCCTATCTCAATTTCTAAATTTTTTTTGATTTGTGTGTGCGTGTGAACCAAGTTTCGTGTTAAGTTCGAGGACAATTGTTGTTCATACACTGATGTGTAATTTACATGTTTAATATCTTTTCTTTGTAAGATCACGTAATTTACTACTCTAACAATATAGAAAGAAAGTGTAAATACTTGTTGGCCATGTAACAATACGCAGTTTTAAAACTTTTTGTTAGAAACACGTTATACAAACTAAATTTTTAAACTAGATATCTTATTAAATATTGTAGTACATGAGAAGTGTTACAACTCACTTATTCTACCACAAAAACGTTATAATAAAGAGCAAGGTATATGATATCTTAGAAAATCCTTCATGCTCCTAGCACTCTAGCGAATTGATTTTAAAAAAAAATATTAGTATCACACACATCAAATTGTGATTTACCATGAATGAAATTTTCAATTTGAATAAAATTTCATCTTCTAAATTACTTATAATAATAGAGGATCTATGGTGCTGATATTAATCTTCTCTCAAATATAACATACTGAATCAATGAACTAAATCCGTTCAGACATGCTGACATTAATCTAATCCAATTATTTGATACATTGTCAAGTCTTATCCAAGGCCATAACTATCTCCACCGCCAACACTAATTCTGATATGGTTATAAAATTACGTGTGCCCAAGACGTTTTTTGGTTTTTAATGGCACAATAATACAACAAAAACATATCATTTCCTAACTAAACAATAAATTTATTAATTTTTTTAAAAAAATATTGATTGATTTTCGTTAATTGAACTGGACACGCCACTTGGATACAATAATTTAATTCCTCCATTAATTGCCAAGTCCTAGCACTTCAGTACCAATCAAAATATTTGTGAAGTTTCACTGTCTGGCAGAGATGAAGGTTGAATTGAACTTCATCATCTCTTCCTCTTCAGATTCATTTCTTTATCTCTCCGCCATAAAGATATCTAGTTTCACTGTACTGTCTTTAATACCATCAACTTTGATCTTTGGTTTGCTGTGTTTTACTTCACATACAAGTATACAACTGATGGGATTTATGGTTTCTTTCTCTCTTATTTTGTTGTTGCTGTAGAGAAACCAAATTTAATTTCTCTTTAGTCTTTACTGATTATATATGCAAATTAAAGTAGTCTCTCTTTTAGATTGTCTAATCACTTGTCCTCAACTTCCCTGCTGCAGAAATTGGTCTTGAAATTAGAGTTGATTGATGACAAGGACAAAAAGAAGGCCATGAAAACTGTTTCCACCCTCCCAGGCAAGTTTTTACCTTTACATCTTATTCAAACAAAATAGGGATGCTAAGCCTTGCCGGCTAGATCACAAGGCGAAGTTTACCAATGCAAACTCTGGGGTAGTGACTAGAAGTTTCTTTCCTCACTCCAAAAATAAGGGTGCTAAGAAGTTATAGACAACTTACACTGGTTTCTAAACTTGAAGCCGAGGACAGGATTCCCAAACGGGACCGGTCCTGGGTGTGGGGATGAGGATAGGAGAAAGGTAGGGGTAGGAGCAAGGAATATGCGGGGGCATATTTCATTATTTCCTACTACCTAGTTACTATCATAATTCCTAAATATTAATTATTAAATTTATTTTGGATTATTAAAAGACTACCTAACTATAGATTTAAATCTGAACTAACAGGGATTGATTCAATTGCCATTGAGGTGAAGGAGAAGAAACTAACTATAATTGGGAATGTTGATCCAATAGTGGTGGTGGGAAAGCTGAGGAAATCATGGCACACAGAGATACTAACAGTGGGGCCTGCAAAGGAGCCAGAGAATAAAAAAGTTGAAGAAAAGAAGGGTAACCAAGCCCAAGGTGATCAACAACAAATTGCTGAGTTGATGAAGCTTTACACAAGTTACAATCCACAGTACTATGATGTTTATAGTGCAGAAGAAGACCCAAATGGTTGTGTTATATCTTAATTAGTAAGGGTAAGATGTGAAAAACTTGTGCATATATGAATGTTTGAGTTGATGATCATGGGATATGATGGGAGTTCGATTTCATCCCCTCACCCTCTGTTATATACTCCATACTCTTTTTGTCCTTACCTTCTTTGAGGATTGGAACAGTAAATTTTGTCTTAAAAATGTTACTTTTATAAATGTATATTTATATATATACACACATATCACATGAAACATGGATTAAGCAGTACCTAAAGAGAGTTGCTGAAAGAAGATGGAACCTACTTAGAGCCACTGGAGGTGTATAGGAAGAAGGATGAACTGCTAGTATAGCTAGATATGAATACCTTCCCAACTGAAGTTGGCTGAGAAAATGCTAGCTCTGAGCGCAAGAGAACTTGACCATTGCAAAAACTTTTCCTGCATTAATTAATTAAAGCAATAAAAGTCAAAGAAATTCAGTAAAAAGTAGATAAGAGTCTTGGAGAGTTAATAGGAAAGAATTCACTGTTTCAAGCATGCAACAACAAAAAAGAATCCCCAGAAGAATGAGTTACAAGCAATGCAGATTTTTCTTGGTACAACAAATATGTGCTGCAGATGGTAAGTTAAATTTTCTTCTGTACCAAATCCAGAATATGTTCACATCCCTTTAGTAAGTTAAATTTTCTCAATCGGAGATTTGGGGAAACAAAATTCTTAAGTCAATCTAGAAACTGAAGCTGATGAAAATATGGCTATTACCTTGCAGCATCAAGTAAATAACTACCAATGTGTTTTCTTCTATTGGAAGGAGTGACCCAAATGGCTCTAATGCCACACAAAGCAGGTACAGCTTCCTTCTCACACAAGATCACTCCATTTAGGCCATCATCTAAACCATCGAGTCTTTCTTTAGGGGGATCTCTTCTTACTTTTTCCCGTTGAAAACTGACTCCTCCAAACTGCAGAACCGTAGATCTCTGACTTACTTCCCTTTCAGCCGCAACACTAGACTTGTTGCCTTGCGAACTAGAAACAATTCTATATGCCTTCTTTATAGGTTCTGCTACCAAGCATCCACCAATTCTTCGAGAAGAGATAAACAAATACACCTGTAATAAGTGGAAATACTTGAAAGTTGCACAGGGAAATATCTGTCCAAGTCAAGGAAGAATGGAAAAGAATGTAAACTGTGGAGGGGTATCGACAAGATATGAGTATACACAACGTTGAAGATCTTTATTCATATATCAATAACTAGCAGAAGAGAAAAATATAGCTTGCTTGCATGTGAAACAAGTTGCAAAGAAGTACGATGTGTAAAACAACTATGCATACAAGAAATTGATCCTATGATCTGGAGTTTAAATGCTACGCAACATAATATTAGTAGTTGTTGGAACCTTGCATTGCTGATTATATATCCACCCTTCACCAAGTTCCACCTCCATCATCTTTACAACTTCCTGAACCTGCCAACATACTAGAACCTCAGATTGCTTAAAAAATTAACTAGTGTTTCTCGTGGAAACAAAAACATGGCAGGATATGTGAAATAAAAATATAATTCACCTTGTTTCTCCAAGGAGGAGGGTCATCATTTAAGACCAAGATAATGCGTCCTGCTTCAAATGAAGGAATTGGAATAATTCTTTCATTCTGCCAGCCCTAGAAAGTAAATCAAACAACCAAAAAGAGAAGGGAGGAAATAGTAAGCCAAGTATTAATAGTAAGTCTATGCATAAGATTTACACACAAAAAAAAAAAAAAAAAAAAAAAAAAAAAAAAAAAAAAAAAAAACAAACAAACAAACAAACAAACTTGTCATAAAACCTTAAATGGGATTCCAACAGTGTAATTCTTGTGAAATGCCTGGTGAACCTTCTCATCCCCTTCTTGACCAGTAGCATACTGGAAGTTGCATACATTGCAAGTGTGCAAGAGAAAATCAGACTGACCAAATTCCAAATGAAATTGGGCATATTTTCTCTTCTTATTCAGAACTTTTACAGATGTGGGCAAACCAAATTTCACAATTGAGCTCTTTGAATCAATTTTCTTGGGTGCTTCACCATTTGATCCATCCTTGCTATCACTGAATTTTGGTGGCAGAACAATTGACAAAGAGTGAACACTACTTTATTAGGCAACAAAATTTCAAGCACATGCAACACAAATAGTCAAATACAGAGTTACATAAAATTAAGAAGGGCAAAATTAAAACAGTATCGAAAAGAAATTACTAGTACAATCATTGGGGAAATTGCTAGTTAGGGGCAGAAAAGTTATACTGGAATCAAAATAAAAAATAAAAAAATAAAAATCAAATAGCTGCAGCATGCCTCAAATTGGAAAAGAAATGAAGAAAATCTCCAAACAAAGAGGACAAATCAACCAATCTCTTTTAAAAATGAAAAGCAACAACCAGCACAGTCAGTCTCACTAAGTCACTTAGAACAAGCGGGATGTTTTCAAAAAAGAACAAGCAGGAAAGAAATGACCAAATAAACTGAAAGAAAACAGAAACTATATCCATTATTCACATCTACAAACAAAAAAAAACGGAAAACAATAAAATCCAAATTTTACTTGAGGTCATAACTTCAAATAAATAAATAAATAAATAATAACCATGAGATTTTAAAGCTAATAATGAAAACTTAAAGTGATAGAGATCATACCCACACGGTTGGGAATTTCTACGGTTATACGTAACGGTAATATCTGGGTATTTCTTTTTTGTGCCTTCTCGGTGGAACAAATCACCGGAGATGGAAGAAGCGTCGGCGGTCTTGGAAGTGCATGGTCTGAAAAAGGCGTTAATCTTCGATTGCATTCTTCAGTCTTCACTCCTCACGCTCTGTTCGATTTTGGGAATTATGCAATTAGTGAATTAGGGATTTGGGTTGGATTTAATCAAAATCGAGTCTGGGAAAAAAAAAATTGTTCTGCCGCGAATACAATTTTCCCGCCACCCATTACAAATTTTCAAACGGAATTACTCCTTGTTTGTAATATGCCCCAAAATATGATTAGCGAAGCTGAATTGTTATACCATGGACCAGGGTACACCTTGCAAGCAAGGTGGACTCTTATCCTAAATGACGAATAAATTGTGTACTTTTAGTATTGGAATTGTAAATTTTTAAAATATAAATTGTATTTTTATGTCAAAACACATATTCCATAATACAATACCGGGTCATCAAATCTAAAACGGTTAATATTGTATGACTGCAATATTTGAAAGGAACTTGTGAATACAAAATAAGATAATCAATTACATATACGTTAACATTGTGTGTCCGTAACATACAAATTGTGAAGTTTTAAAAAGTAAAATGTAAACATTTAGTATATAAGTTGCAAACATTTAAATACGGGTCAACTTTACAAGATGGACCTGAGTCCACGGAATATTTTGCGAGCGAAGCTACTTCATATTAACTTCGTAGATCACATTCAAAAAAAAAAAAATATTAACTTCGTAGATCAAGGGCTCTCATTTCTTAAAAAAAAATAAGTCTTAATCCAAGTTAAACACACTTTTATTGAATAATGATTTATGTCTAGTTTTCTATTACTTATTTTTATACATTATGCTATAAGAGTTTTACTATACAATTTTTTTGAACAAAAATATAAATATTAGTATAACTCTTGTTATATTTTCCCATTATTATCATACATATACATATACAATATCTTTTATTATATTCTTCAATGATAATAATATATGTAGACATTATAAAAAATAAGTTTAAATGTTACTATAATTTTATTTAATAATTTATCATATCTAAAATTTTTACTTTAATAATATTAACCATACTATAATATTATTACACAAATTATTAACTACAGAATATAATTTTTATTATAATATAAATTCTATAATAATGAATTTAAAAAATTATATAGTATTATTACAAACTATTTTAATATAACTAAAATTTTATTATTGGGCATATATATATATATTTGTGCATTGCGTTGTTAATAATAAATTTGAAAGCAAATTCATCGAATTTTTATTTTGGTGACCATATTCTTTGATTCGATATATAATTTATTGAAATAATTTAATCAAGTTATATTTTGATGACTATATGCTTGAATCAAAATTTTATTATGCATAATAATATATCCTATACTTTTTGCTTATTATTAAGAGAAAATTACATTTTTGGTCCTTCAATTATATTCGCGGTACAGATTGTCGCTAAGTTATATGTATGACCATTTTAAACCTCTAAGTTATACATGGAGTGGCAATTTTAATCCTTGAATGATCAAATCAATCACTTTATCAAGTTAAAAATTAGTGATAAAAATAATCTCCAAATGACTAAAATCATCCTTCCATGCATAACTTAGGGGTTAAAAATAATTACATGTATCTCAAGGACTAAATTTATATCATCTGTATAACTTTAAGACCAAAAATGCAATTTTTCCTATTATTAATTAAGTGAATTTTAAATTTTAACAAAATCAACCGATAATTGATTATTTTTTCTAAAACTTCAACTTAAAATTGCTAACAAAATCGATGTAGCTATTACAGATTAAATTAACTGAATTTAAATCAAGGGAAAATGGGACTTTTTCTCCCTGAGTTATATACTTATAGCACTTTTCTCCCCTCAATTATTCAAGTGGTTGTTTTTCCTCCTAAAATGTTAAATAGACATATTTACCCTTAAAATAAATATTTTATTTATTTTTCTTCTCCAACAAATTATGACCATAATTTGGTTCAAACCAAATAAACACTATAGCAACCAAACTGAAATATTCCAATTATAATTTAGAATCGAAACTCGATATTTAGAGTTGATTAAAATTCCGGAACGGACGGTTCATGTTCCGAACTGAAAAAATAAAATACATTTATTGTTGAATTTAGACTATTTTTAAAATAAAAATAAAATTTTAAAATAAAAACGGTTCAAAATCACGAATCGGGTCCGGAACCGCCAGTTCACGGTTCAGGATCCAATTTTTTTGATTCATAATTTTAATAAATTGAAATTCAAATATTGGGTTCTAGATCTGAATCATAACCGGAAACTTTTAATTCGATTGCTATAGTGTCTGATTCAGTTCAAACCGAATCGTAGTCATCCCTACGTATACGCAATAATTTGTTGGAGAAGTAAAATAAATAAAATGTTTATTTTAAGGGTATAAATGTCAATTTAATATATTAGGGAGAAAAATAACAACTTTTAGAATAATTGAAGGGGCTAATGTGCTTACCTAAATAATTGAGGGGGAAAAAGTGCTATAAGTATATAACTCAGGGAGAAAAAGTGCAATTTTTCCCTTAAATCAATTGACCAAAATTATTCTAATTAATTGCAAAACCCTACGACATCAAAGGAGCAGAAGGATCGACTCATAGCCTAACGCCAACGACTCATGGCATTTTCATATCTCAAAAATGAAAATTTCATATTAACATTTCATAATCGTTTCCCAAATTTAAAAAAAAAATTAAAAAATTAAAAAAATCAAGACCATATTTTCTAATTAATTTTAATTTTAATTAATCATAGCCTATTTTTAAATAAAAACCTGGAAAGTTAGGACCTAAAAAGAAGAATATAAGAAATGAAATGTTCATTTAATGTAATTAAGCCAAATACTAAGCTATAAGAGTAGTAGTCGCAGTTGTAAGCCTATCGCAAGCTCTTTGTACCTCATGCCTTTCTTCTATAGTAATCTGATAATGTAGCAGTTCTGGATCACTTGTATCCAGGTGAAGCCAATCATGTTCCTAAAATTTGTACAGGGAAGTTGAGATTAGATTCACGCTTAAAACATTATTAGCAACTGATTTATTAAGGCCCTGGTTAGTAAAATGGCTGTTAGCTGTTAGCTGATTGTGTTAATTAGAGGGTATAAATAGTTGATAATTTGGTAAATTAACTGTTAGCTGATAGCTATTTAGTATAATTTCTTTTCTCAAAAAGTTAATTGAAAAAGTTGATTGGAGTAGCTTTTTGAATTTTAGCCTTTTGGAGTTACAAAAAGCTAATTAACCAAACATTGATATTTTAACTAAATTAAACAATTAATAGTGATCAAATAAGTCAAAATTGATCTATAAGCCAATTTTTGATGTGTTTTGAGATTCCAGAATTAATGATGTCATTTTACAGTTTCACACCTCCAACAAAAGGAAAGGAAAAAAAGAAAAAAGAAAAAAGGACATATTGCTGCTATCCAACATGTTTCTGCAGAATATGATAATTTAATGAAAAGCATCAAATCACCATCCCTATTTATTGTTTAGTTTACATAATAAAAATTATACAGTAGCAGACAATTTTTGCAGAAACACTCAAAGAACACAACTGAGACCACAAGGAATCTTACAGAGAACATCATTTCTTCAATTGCAGAAAGGCAAGCTAATTTCAGCAAAGACTCTGGGCTGCAACTCTTGAAAACCTTAGTAAAAGCCTGCAATGACAGTACAAATTACGGAGTATAACAACTAAAAATTACATATTTGAAGATTACAACGAGTTATCAAGTGCATTACCTCATAGGAGTTAGGTTGTCCTTATCCCTGCAAACATCTCTCACTCTCAAAAATAGATCCCACTTTCACATCATCCCATTTGCAAATCATCTACTATTCACACTTCAAAAGTGGGCCCAACATATTAAAATAATATTATTAATTATATTAAAATATTAAAAAGTCAAGAAAAAAAATAAAATTTAAAAATAAAAAGAAAGTACAAAAGCCGCGGCAGCTTTTTAAGGACAAATTTACAAATCCCTTTCAATTAAAAAAAAAAATAAAAATAGTGACATGGCCTTGCCACATAGGATTGCAAAGAGGGGTTTGGCTGGGATAATAACAGCCTTAGGAGCTATGTCATATCTTTGTCCTAACTTAATATATTAATGATAAATTTCCTGCTTAATTTCCTAGAACTATTCAAGGGTTGGTTTGAGGCAGGAAGTTTTTTACTTACATGCTTGACATTTTAATTTTATGGAAAAATGAAATTTATGTTTTGGCACAAGTACGAGAAAGGAAAACATGTTTTTGCAAAGGCTTACTATAGCACGTGTTTAAGGGAAGTGAACAAGAACTTCTCAGTACTCGATTTTAATAATTTTTCTCAGTTCGAAAGGTACTGTGAAATAAAGCTGTGACTGGAGGCGCAAGGGTGGTAGTTGATATGGTGGTTTGTGGAGGCAAATTTTAGTGTGGATCATGGTCCAAAACGATGCCGTTTCTTTTAATGAAAAGAAACACACTCTTTTCGTCTAATTAATTATGTTTGTATGATATATTCATTTTTATTTATATATTATATATATTGTAGTTTCATGTCAACGCAACTAAAATATCATTTTATTCAAATTACAGTTTTATTTGACATTATACACTCAATATGTGAGATATGTTATTGAATTTCATTTAACTAAATAGGTGGAGTATAATTATTGTACTTAAATATCACATGTTTAGTTCATGTTAACATCTTTTTTATCAAGTTCGTCACACAGAATCTTCTTAATGCAATATTGTAATTTATATATTTTTGTGTAATTTGCGAGCTATTACATTGGATCGGTGTTTATTCAATGCACACCATCAGATAATCCCCGCTATGTTGTGCATAAACTTCCGAATGTGAATGTTTTCATTTGTTAGAAACATACGAAAACTTGATGTTTCCCTAGTTTAAAAAGGAACAAGTAGTATTAAACATATCACTTATTCACTTTTGTGTAATAGGGTAACTGAATTAAAAAAAAAATGTACAATTTAATCGTCAAACAAACAAAATATGTGCAATTGAGATACATTTATGATTTCTTTCAATGCAATTTAAGTTGAAAACATTTTAATCTTTCATCTCAACTAGTATGATTAAGGAAAATGTAATTCTTAGTACATACCATGTAAGTAATATGAATGAATTCTACCTGTAGAAATGAAAATTATTTCTCAATTGTACATAATTTACCTGTTTAATGATTTAATTGCACAAAAATCATAAGTTTAGTGACCTATTTGACACCTTCTCCACTTAAACAATTTCCAAATACAGTTCTGTTTTTTTTTTTTTTTCCTGAAGTCCAGTCAATACCACCTTCATTGAGACTCAAACTCATAATCTCCTATTTGAAAGAGTCACTTCATGCCACTTGACCACAAGGTCTTTTGACTTTATTTATTTATTTATTTATATTTTTTCCTCGTTTTTTTTTGTATCCTACCTCTCCTATGTCACTGTTTCCTATTTCTGTGCTACTTAACATAAGATATAATTTATTTGTTTTTTTTTTCAACGATTTTGACATTTCAAGTGACGTCTGATATATATAATGCGAAGATTTTTGGAATTTAAAAAGAAATTGGAAAATTAAGGATGACGGCGGCGCACGTTAGTGACGTTTGATATA